TATTTTCAAAATGTCTGGTTAAGGAATATACATCATTTACAATATAATCTTAAATGAATAAAATTGATTGAAATTCAATGGAATCAAAATATATTGAATAATTTAGGGAAAAAAATAACTTGACAATTTTCACCAGTAATCCTGTGTTATCCGGAGTAAAAAATATATCTACATTATTAAAATGTAACATGCATTATGTTAAGAACCAAAATGTTTAATAGTTTTAAGGTAATTATTTTTCTGTTGATACAGGATTACTGATGAAACATTTCAAGTTAGTTATTTTTCTATTCATAAATATATATTTTGATTTAAAAATATCTTCCTTTTACTATTTTATGTTTCTCCCATCAAAATCTGACATTTCATATAGGCTAGCCTAATGAAATACATTGTATTATTTGAAAGGAGAATTTGAAATGATCCTAGAAAGAAGATACATATATCTATTGCATTTATTTGAATATTAGCATAATACCTGTCAGAAATTACAGGATTATTTATATATAGATTAGCACTTCTGCCAAGGATCAGTGTAGTACCTATGTGCTCTACCTCGAATTAGAGAGTTGATCCTAGGTTAACTGCCTAGGATTAAAGAGCTGCATCTGCTATGCACTCTAAATTTTACAATATGATTCTTTTAGCTTTTTTTATTAACATTTTGATAAATTTAACAAAATATGTTTCATCTTTACATGTCATGCTGAAATATGTGTAGCTTAAACACAAAAAATGTAATTGCTTCCTAAAACCTTTTTAAATGTTTTCTTATTAAAAACACCTTTTTATGTGTTCTTTTTAAAATCAGAAAATTTAACTAAGTAAAAAAAAACAAAAAAAACTTCCATATCTATTTACTTATTTTAACTTGGTTTAATCAAAAGATTCCACAAGCATGACTTAAAATTGCAAAACAATATAATTCCAAATCTCTTACTGTTAGCTTATTTTTGACTGGTGAAGATATATTAACAGCATGGCTAGTTAAAGAAAACCCAAGTCACTCATCCTTTGCTAATTTAGTCTTAGAAAATTACATTTACATTTAGTGCTTAAGGTAAAAATGCTTCACATTTGGAGACAACAAATGAACCTTTCAATATTTCACTTTTATTTACATTTTTAAAGTAAGTGTTGAAATGCTCCTAAAATTGTTTAAAATTTCTATTTTGCACCAGTTGTGTATTGAAGCTGAAAGCTCTTTTTTTATAAAACCTTTCTCTGTTGGAGAGGACTTGTTTTAAATTCTGTTTAATGACTCATTCAGAAAAAAAATAATTGGATGGCTTCTTTTTTAATCTTATGCACTAAAAGTAAACTGTAAATTTTCCAACAGTAAATAACACCAATGCTATTCTTTTGACTTTTCTCTCTCTGATTAAAAGCAACAAACTCTTAAAATGATTAATACAAAATGAGTGCCATTATATTTCAGGCGTTGACAGCTTTTGTTGGTCAGCATGCTTCATATAGTTTGCTTCAATTGTTACCATTGCTTTGTATTAGTGATCATTTTTACAGCTCATGACTTTTTTTTTCTTTTCTAGTGTGCCAGTTGTCACTAGAAATGTTTTCCAATCTATACTGGCTCTTTTTTATGTTGTATCATCTTGTTGATGGGATTGTTCTGTTTTTATTTTCTCTTCTATTCATTATTCATTTCTACTCCTTTTCCTCTATATTTCATTTCTAAACGTTGCGTTTATTTTCTTTTCATTTATATCCTTTCTTTTGATCAACTTACTCATCAATAACCACATCTCTTTGATAATGTATATTGATATTATGAACTCATTAAACAAATCCACTTTGATATTTTTGCCATTGTTAGTTGATTAAAAATTAAAATGTATAAGCATCCTTAGCTAACCCTCCTAGCCACTCACTCTTTTGTGGTGGGAGATTATGATTTTTCTTTTTCTCCACAGTTTATGCAGATGAGGCTGTTCATTACAAAATAATTTTTTTTTTTTTTTTCATACTAGCTCTATAAAACACTGGCCTTCATAAATTTTAGAAATTTTCTCTGGTTATGAAATAACTTTGCATTGATACATTTCTGATCAATTTCTTTTTTATATATTGAAAAAAACTTTTGTGTTAAAAATTTTATAAATGTTTAGGAAAGTATTATTCTAGTCTATGCCTCCTGATTGATGAGAACATTTAGCAAATATTATTGAAAGAAAAAAATTAAAAATATTCTTTAATATAGGTGTGGAATTTTTCACATCAAAATAAATGTGAACAAATAAATTATAAAAAGAAACTTACCAATAACTTTTAACTTCCATGTACATCCCCACCACCACCTACCAAATTTGTTTAAACTTTTATCCAAGAATGCATTTGAACGATTAATCCAACCCCAGTTTTTATGATCTTGCATTGTAAATTGTAACTAATTGATTCTTATAAATTTTATTCCTGTCAAGTAATTCTTCTGTCCTTTCTGAGAATAAATGATTGGAAAAGGATTGATTTTAATCGAAAAAGCACAAAATAAATTGAAGTTTTGTTTGACATAATTTTCATATTGTTATTTTAAATGCCAATCATTTAAATCTTTTACCTTTTTTACTGAAAGAAATGTTACTAATAAAATTACTCAAACTATTTTTAACTGCCAAATTTGAAATATCAATATAAAAAGTGTAATTCATTATTTTCTTCACTTCTCACTAATTGCATGCAATGATGTTAATCTTTTGTTTCATCAATTAAACTATTATCCACATGGATTTTAATTCTAATCTCTTCTGAATCTGTTGGAAGATTCTTTTCTACCTTGTACTCTTATCAAGTCTATATTGTGAAATTGATATTATCGGCAGTTCCCACGGATGACAGCTACTATACATACATACATACATATATATATATATATATATATATATTTGCTTGAAAGCTTTAAATTATTGTTCTAAATTCTGTTTTTCCATTTGGAAGAATCAGTTCTTGAAAAATATGAACCTGGCAGCAAATTAATTGTGTTGCCATAGGAAAATATCTCCATAAAATATTTGCAAATTTACAAAAAAAAAAAAACACCTCTCTGTCAATAAGCTTAATTTCGAAAGGAACCAGTTTGACTTGTCAAGGGAATTAACTCTTGTTGCAATTTTCCTGGGGTTATGCATTTTTAAGAATTGTTTGACACTACATTTTAAAGTAGGTCATAATAAAGCAACTAGAACTTTTGTTATTGAAAGTAATTACATGTAATTAGAAAATGCTTGTGAATAATTGAACCATGTATCTGCTGTTTATATATCCCATTTATCAGACTTTTAAGATTTTAGAATTTCATAATTTTTTTATTTTAATTTATTACATCTATAAAAGTCATTTTCAATTAGATGCGAAATTGACTTTGAACTTTCGTGATATGTTTCAAATGAATTTTATTATCTAAAAAGAATACCCGCTCGGCCCGGTGACTAGGATCAAAGTGTAGTATCTGTGCTTTGTGAGCTACGGGTCGGGTGTCCGTCTTGCAGAGAGGAACCCGGACAAAGCTCCGCCGAAGGGTAGGGTTTCGTTAGGCGAGTTTGGCGGAACTGGCCCGCCTTGGCGGGTTTGGATGGTTATTTATTTTTGGCTGGGCCTATGGGCTCAGAGATACCCACATTAAAAAGGCCTTGTGCCACATTCGATCCCCATGGGTGGATTGATAAATACTTTTAAAAAGGTCATTAATGGCTATGATTTACAAAAAAAATAGAATCAAAACATAAATTGATGTTGCACATAAAATTAAAAAATATTTGCACAACTGATTTATATTCTTTGGATAAAAAAAAAGTAATTAAATTTTGAAAATTCCAAATTTCCTAATTGAATTTAAGTTTTCAAGATATGATTATAAACATGTCATAAAAAATTGCATTGGATTTTATGCTTTGTTAGAGCTTGAATGATTTCTAGCATTCTAATATATTTTATTTCTAGTAGCAAAAAAACTTGCTCATTTTGGACTTTTAATTCAGAGCTAGTATGACTTGAAGAAATTCTTCCTGCTGAAAGTTACTATTTTTTTACCTTTTAGTCAGTTGGGCTTAATTATTAACCTTTTTATTTTTAATAACAATAATTATTTTATTTCTATACATTTATAGAAGTATTTCTAATAAGCTTATATGTTGAAACACAAATACTTTATTAGAAAGGCAAAAAAAATAATCCCACTGTCATCTGTGAAGGACATGAGGTGCTGTTGCTTGGTGCTGAAAACATGAAATTTATTAATATAGACAATTTTGACTAATAGAACAATAAATCTTCACTGTTGAATTAATGACTCTTACTCCTTCCATCACTTCCTTTTTTATTCTTATTTTCATACAGCTTCCCAAATGTTTTGAAAGCCACTTTTCTCTATTCAAAACTTTCTATGATTTAGAAACTCAGGTTTTCCCAATTGTAGTTCTGTATTTATGAACTTCTTTATTACTCCTGTTTTGTTTTGTTTTTTTTTTTTTTTTTTTTCTTGACAATCATTTTACTTAATTTGTGATATTTGAAATTGTAAACTTTCATAGCTATCTTTGAACTTAAAGGTTGTTGGCCTAACCTTACAAGTAATTCTTATGTAAAATATTTTTGTACCAAATATTATTTATTTTTCAAAATTCAATATTTATCTTAGGAAAAAAAAAGTCTCTCTTCAATATTACTTAGACTTTCTCCATAGACAAATGATTTTCTGAACTAATAGGGATATTCCACTGAAAAAAAAAATTTGATTGCCTGATAATTTTTCTTAGAAATTTTTTGCTAAAAATTTAAGAAAGTTAAGAAATATTTCTAAGGTTTTCAAAGTTTTGATCTTGATTTACAGCACCAAGGAGAAATCAATGTTATCAGTGACTATGATGAGAACTACAATAAAATCTCTCTAAGTAACTATGAATTGGCAAATCTGAAATAATCTGGATGGCTGGATTTGACCACCTTCCCGAATTCATCATGTAAATTATTTGTTTTAACTTTGACAGGTTCTATATGTATGCTCCCCTGCTGCAGTGGAATCTTCCAAGGACACCAGCGCTGTGAGTTTTGAGATCAACAAGCAGTCTTAAAGAATGCTCTAAATCTCTTTCATCTTGCATGTCCAAGTGGACAATCTACCTTTTTGTTTTATTTCTAAAAGCCCACCCTCCCCACAACCACCCATCAACAGTGTCCAGCATTTTACTGGACTGTGCAAGTGATGCGGTGTGGGTTTCTCTTCTTTTTTTTTTTTTTTTTTTTTTTTTTTTTTCCTCTTGAGGTTATTTGCATGAAAACTTTTTTCCAGATATTTTTTATCTTTACATTTTGGTTTTTAGTTTAATTTTTTTTTTTCTTTTACTTTTTTTATCTTTTCTTTTCTTCATTTGACTAATCTTTGGTGTTTGTATCTGTTCTGCTGGTTTTATGGTACTAACATTTTTTATAGAAATATTATATATATATATATATATATATATATATATATATATATATATATATATATATATATAAAATAGATACATACACCATGCTTTCCTTTTTAAAATTAATTTTTGTCTCTTTTTTTTGTATTATTATTATTCTTTACTAACATTTAATATTTTTCATTTATTTTTCTGGATTCTCTGAAATTCTCTCCCATCAGTATCTAAGATTTTAAAATTAAAAAAATATCATTTTAAATATTATCATTAACTCTTTGTGTACAGTTTAGTCCACTTAAAAGCACAAATTGTGTGAAATAAACGTAGAACAATTTTTGTTACTCCCTCATTAAATCTTTCATAATCATTTTACAATTTTAATAGCAGAATGAATTTTATTTTATGAAAGGCTTTTTAACTCTAAAATCAAAATTTTTTTTATTAAATATTTTTAATTTGAATTTTGTATAGAAAAGTTTATAATAGAACTGATTCAAAAATTTTTAAACTAGCTCTCTATCCCAGTTGTAAGAATTCAAAACTGAATTTTCATTTTGCCATATATTCAGATCTAAATTATGGAAAAAAATCATTGGAATTAATGAGTATTGTTTTTTGTGTTTATTTTTGTAAAAATATCAAATTTTTTGTGGCAAAGGATTCTATATTAATTAACTTATGTATGCACATTTGAATAATTTATTAATTATTGGTGGGGTGAGTTTTAAGAAAAATCACTTTCTGCTCAAGTTTCTGGGACAAGCACTTGTATTTTCATTATAGTAATGATGTTTTGTATATTGTATCTTCCGGCCTTTGGGTTTGAACATTACCAAAAGAAGGCTGGAGAATAGAATGGCCAAAATGTTGTGATTGTAACAACCAAAATGAGAGTGCCACTCAAATAGATCAGCGTATAAGAAATCAGTTTTTGTTTTGAAAGTTTCTTGAAATTTAAATATTCTCTCTTCATTTAAAAAAAAAAAAAACTTGTAATATTTTAATTTTATTTTAAAGCACATTGATTAACAAATGAGAATTTACTAATTTGTGTTATGTAAATTTTTCAGTATACTTTGCAAATGTTTGTGGATTCATGTTATAAAATGCAATTATCAAATGCAAATCACTTTAACATCACTTTCTAAACTTTGGTTGTTTCGTTTCTTCTACTGATCCGGGAAATGTCATATTTTTGCCACAAATCCAGTCATTCTAAAATGTTAAGATAGGCCAATTTTTTTTCATTCTGAACATCAGTTTCATTCAATCAACTCTTGAAATATGAAGGTTTAAACTTGTAATAATCAAATTGTTTTTCTTCCACAAGCAAAGAGGTAATGATAATTTTGAGAAATTAAGTAACTTTTTGTTTCCTGTATTAATTTTCTTTGTTAATTTTTATCTATCAAATTCTGCCTTCTTAAATACTTGAATATTTGTATTGTTATTTTTCTTATTCAACAAATGTCAATATTTTCAGTTGCTGTCATGCTTCAGATTAGCATTCTCATCTGTAATCTTTTCATGATATTTCTCTGGTTGTCTTCAATTGTCTTATTGATCTTAACAATTTGTCTTTTGAAGATAGTAGTACATTACACAAATTAATAATTCTGGCATCAGATATTTATATGTAAACTTTCACACTATAAAATTGTAGAATTTTAAATGAGAATTTTAGACTGTTGAATGAAAAAATGGATGTGAAAACATTACAGCTGAAATGTTCAAATCTCAGACAATTTGAGTTAGATGAGCTTTTCCAATCTTTTAAATAATTTTTCCTTATTTATACATAAATATAGACAAATAAAATGAAGCCTATTTGTTATTCATTGGTTTCTTTAGACATTTTCCTCAACCTTTTACACATCAATTAGAATCTACAATTTCTTGCCTACATATTTTCTTCCCTATGCATTTCTATTTAACAGCAACTTGCCTTCTCTTTTCAGTTCTGTTCTTTGTCCCATCATTTACTCTGACTAATGAGCTTTATATTTAAATACATTCACACATAATTTCATCCCATTTATGATGTACTGGGGGATAAAGAATTCATACGTATAGATGATTAGAGAATATTTTAATCTAGATATTGTACTTGAAAAATCACTGGTCATCAGTGAATTCCCAAATGCCTGATCTAAATGTGTGGATATTAGTCTAAAGGAAGCAATGATTAGCAAATGCAGGAACACTTGTCAAAAAGAACTAATGTGTAGTAATATTATTATTTTAATAACCGTTTTGATCAATTGGTAACTTTGAAATTTCCTTCAAGTTCAATGATTGAGACAATAGTTTTGTCATTTGTCTAATCAATTTTACTCACTGCTTTTCTATAAAACCCTTTTAAAGACTCTCTTTTTTCTTTTTTTTCCTTCTACTACATGATTTTGTTGTAAGTTTCTTGCTGTCCCAATATTCTATTTTTTTAAGATTTTTATCCAATTAATTTTTAATTTTATTCTTTCTGATTAATTTTAAAAATCCTATTTCAAACTGAATGATTATCAAATTTTCATCTCACACACCGGGAGGTAAATTGTTTTTCACTGTTACAAAATTATTTTTATATACACTTATATATTTATTTTCTCTGCACTTTGTTTTAGCTGATCTTATTGGTCTAGATATCCAAGTAATGGTGAATTCATGGAATGGCATCAAATTATTGGATTGTCTTTTCCTAAGGACAATTTAATTTCCCCCTCTTATTTTCATGTGATAATTGTTTACATGTAACCTGCTCAGTGACAGAACCTTTTTATATTCTTTCATATAACAATTTATTTATATCTATTTTAAGAATTTTTTTTTTTTAATCTTCATTATAAGTTCAACCAATATTTTTCTAAGTTCATATATCATATTCTAATTTTTCTTATTCTACTAGTTAAATTTCTAAATTAAATTGTATTGCCTATATTTCTGAGATGAGGTATTGTAATCATTTACATTATTCGGACTGTTGTCCTCATCTTTATTGCTATATTCACAATGTTTTGGCTGCTGTACACTGTGGCCTTCTTCAGGTGATTGGAATTTTGAACTGAACCCTTTATTTCATCCACCAGGGTAGATTGTTCTAGTTTCTTAAGGACACATGGCCCAGTGGATAAGTGTTAGTGATCCAGTGACTTGACCCAAAGAGTTGTGAGTTCAAAAAATCTCGGAGAGTTGAGTTAAAGGGTGATAACTGAGACATCAAGAAGAGGCATGGCACATGGAACTAGAACAATTTACCCCCGATGGATGAAATAAAGGATTCAGTTTGAAATTCCAATCACCTGAAGGCCGGAGTGTGCAACAGCTGAAACATCATAAATTTGGGAATAAAGATGAGGCCAACAATCTGAACAATGTAAATAAATTGTTTTGTTTAAATTTATACACAAATAAATATAATTTTTTTGTAAACCTGTAATTAAAAAGAAAACATCAGAAACATAAATACAGAATTTATTTTTTCTTTACTTATATTTTTCATCTCATTGCTAGGAATATTGTTTGTTTTGTCTTTGTTTTGTTTTTTTTAAATTAATTTCTTGATGTAAAATTTTGTTTACTTTAGATATGTTTTTCTTGATATGCTTTTAAATTCTCTTTTTTTTTTTTTTTTTTTTTCTGCTTTTTATTTATTCACCTTTTTATCTTTGTCCTTTATTTCTTGCTTTCTCTTTAGCCCCGGAAAGTTCTTCTTGACCAGCTAAGTTCTTTGGGAGGCAACTCAGAAGATAAACTGCCAGATTGCTTTTTAATGGTCAACACAGCAGAATGGCAAGGACAGGTGAGGGACATCAAAATCATATACAGCCAGTTTCTTAAGATTTACTGTTAGGCGTGTAAAGTTGTTGAAAGGAAGAAAATAAGACTAGTTTTGTTCATTAAAATACAAGTTATACACAGTGCCCCCACCTCTGGCTCATATCTCTTCCATAAAGACCCCACCAACTCAAACCAGATATCTATTTTTAGGGTTGTTCATTATTTGGTATAATTTGCTTGTATAAAAGATTTAAGTTGAATTTAAATTTCTAAAGAAAATGTCACTGGATGTGTGTGTGTGTGTGTGCATATATATATATATATATATATATACACACACACACACACACACAATATAAAAAGATACTTTACTTAATTTTTACTGATCCTGCATCTGGCAGTTACTTGTAATTTTGAAGCAGCAACACAATCCTCAGGTGGTGGACAGAAAAAATTTTTCTGAATTATAAAATTGAGCTGTATAGTAATAGTAAACTTTATTTAAATAGATATACAAACTACAAAACATTTAATGACATAAAATATACACAGTGTGATTTGCTGTAAAGATTAATACTGCCAACATGAATTTGTTCAGCTATTCCAAAGGTATGATCTCTTGCAAATGGTTTCACAAACCTATGGACAAATATAAAAATAACCTAATTTTTAATATAAAACTGAAGAACAATTCTAAACTCAACAAATTAGTTTATCCTTATATACTGATCTGAAATTATTGTTTTCTTTTCAGTTTTTGATTCAGAAATGCCAAGATAAACCACTGAAACTGATCTCAACTTGCACAGCCGCAGACATGAAAGCAGTGATCAGTTTCCTTGTTACCAGAATTCAAAAATTGTAAGTACATTAATTTAAACTTAATTTTTACAATTTTAAAATATTTTCCATTAAAATAATTAGGTTTGTGTAATTTTAAGGATTTTTTTTGTGTGTCAATTATTTGTTGCTAAACTTAAATTCCCTAATGACATTTCAGAATTATTTAGTGTTCTTTTCCTCTTATTATTTGAAAGTTTTTCAGTTGTTTTGTCTTCTGTAATTAGATTCTCAGTGACTAAAAGAGTAATAAATATTTTGTTACAAGAAATTTGATGTAATCAAAGTCAGAAAATGTTTTATTCAAGCTTTATAGAATTGAAAGTTTGAACATTAAGTTGATGGTCAAAATTTATAACACTTAAATTAGTAGCTTCTTATTGATCAACATTTCATATACGAGTCAGTTTCCTATAATAATCCTTATCACCTTGTTTTTAACAGGATGGTAGCACCTGTTAGGGTCCCAGCTATGGGCAAATAGTTAACCCTCAAACTGGTGTCAAAACACTACAAAAGTATAAAAAATAGAGTTTTATAGTAAAAATACCAATAATACAATTGAAAAAAAGTATTACCAGCAATACATTTGACTCTTGACAAAATCCCTCTTTACAAAAATACATTAATGAAACCTGATCTGCAGACTGATTTCTTACAAAGAATACATATTCTATTCATGCAAATCTATTCTAAAAATCTTGTCAACATTAAATAACCCATATGCTATAAAACAAAATAAACCAAAATCCTTGTTTTTATCACCATATTTTAAATAGTTTAATCTGATTATATTCAGGCATAATATATTATTTTATAATGTTTATTACGTTCATATATTAATTTGATTGATTTCAAGTTACTTATCTATTGTGTGAATTAGTAATTGATTTAATCTTGGATTTTCGTCTGTAAATAAATCATGAAAATTTTAATAAGTATCAAGAAGCAGCTACTGAAAAATGCCAAATAATGTGTGATTAATTGATATTTAAGATGTCATGGCATTTTGACTCAAGGTAATATTTGAAGAATATTGACAATTGTTGATAATATTATTAAAATGAGTGTACAGTTTTAAAAAAATTTAACTTAGAAGAAAATTATTTGCAGACTGAAATTTTTTCAATTGTCTTAAGTCTCTTTGAATTTTATTCAGAATTTTCAATTCTTTGCAAAGAACAACTTTATATATAGTCAATGATATTCTTCCTTTGAAAATTACTTTTCACTTTTGGTCGAAAATTTTTCTTCATTTAATTAAAATTTTGATGAAATGCTTTTGCATGTTTTTCAAATCAAGTTACATAATAAAAGGCAAGAGAATAACAGTGGTTGTTTATAACTTTCATAATTATCATTTTCCACTGCCTCAACTTAGAAAACAAACCTAATATACCTAAGTTGTAAATATGGTTAATGGAATATTTCATTGTGAAAAGCTGAGTCAACATCACATAAAATTAAGAGATTTACTTTTAAAAGTTAAATAATTTGCATTTTTTTTATCTCTAAATTTTTAACTTTTGTTCTGCCCACAAATTTGTCTTATTGTTTTTCCCCTTTTCAACAATTTGTGGTGCTTTTTTCTATTTCCTTTTATTAAAGTTCTTTTTCTCTTTTCTTTTCTCTTTCTTTTTCCTCTTTTCTCTTTTTTTCCTTATCTTCTTTTCTCTTTTTCTTTTTGTTCTCTCAACATAACTTCCCTATTATTTTTAGTTGAGCTTGTATTCTTGTGCCTTTCAATTAAATGTTATGAACTCTAAATATATAAAGTGATCATATTGGAATCATTCTCCTATTATTGTTTGTCTAATTTTTTCCCCACACTGTATACTTTCTATTTTTTAGTCTTTTTCTTTCAAAATATTCTTGATATTTTTTTTATTATTTTTTTTACCTTTCCAACATGCAAAGATATTTCTTTATACTTACCAAATAGTTTGATTTCCTTTTGTTAAATTTACAAAGGCCCCCATTACCATGCTATCTAATGTTGTCTTATCTATAACAACAATATGCTGCCTCCACATGGTGTGAGAATGAAGAAGGGCTGTGTGCCTGTGGTGGAAGGGTATGTTTATCTGAGGAATGCTCTCTGGTAAGTTGTAAGTAGTCTCCAAAAGTTCTCAGCCACCCAAGCAGTTCAAAGTTCTTGCTTTTATTCTTTCAATTCAACTTCAAAGCTTCTTTTTGCATGGTTTCTTGAAAAGTGTTCATTTTGTCTTTTTTCCAATTTCCTTCATAGATTTTTTGCCTCTGCAGATAGAATTTTGTTGTTTATTTATTATTTACTTTCTATCGGCACAAATGTTGACTTCTCTGTTAGACTCTTTTTTGAGATATTTTTTCTGATTGACCCATTTCATTCATTTTCTTTGTCTTGCTTTCTTATCTATCTCTCTCTCTCTCTCTCTAAATATTCATGTTCTTGGACATCATTATTGGATTGTTCTGTTGGAACATGCCACCTCTCTTGCATTTTACCTTTTTTCATTTGGAGTGGGTTTCCAACAATTCTGGATTTTGTTTTGTTTTTTCGTTTTGTTTTTGTCTTTCAGTTGCAACAGTAATTCCAAGAGTCCGTCACCCATAAAGATTGGAGTGGCTGGTAATGATGGTTATATCAATTCCATATTACGTCCTTACGTTGATCAATTCTCTGTTAAATCTCCTGATTGGCAAAGCTATGTCAGGTTTCTAGTCATTCCATTTGGTAAGTACACCATTTATGTATCTTGCTTCTTATTAATTCATGTTATGTTCAAAATCATTTCATGAAAGAAATAAGCAAGGAAAAGGGATTCAATCTTCAATAAAAAAAACTTGTTTATGCAAAAAGCGAAACATCCATCCACTTTGCCTGCATTCCAAATTGGTGTTTAGCTCCTATTTCCAAAAGAAGCACTTTCAAACTAACATCTTTATTTTGGATTGATTTATAATTTATATTTCTTTACTCCAAATACTTGTGGCACTTTGCCTCTTTAAATGGTTCTTTAATGTTGAATTTTCCCTGTTATTGCTAATTTAAAAAACTATATTTGTTTTTCTTTGTATTTATAGACACACTAAAATTAGAACTTCATTGAAGGTTTCGTATTTAGAAACTTCTTTAATTTGTTGATCAGAAACTCAAATAATTTATAATTTCATATACAATGATTTGGAATTAATTTTATGTTTTTGTTCAATTCTAAAGATTAAACAGAATTTAATTTTATTCTTTTATAATTTCCAATTTTCATTGTAGATGTTAAAATTTTCAAGCAATAATAATTATAGCATTTCATAGTCTTTATTTTTCATTTCACACATTTGTCAATTATGGATTCTGGAAGCTCGTCTTCATCCATTGAAATAATTTCAGGTTTTATTTGATGTACAAGACTGACCTATTTTGCATTTATTGAAAACTGAAAGCATTTCGTAATTGACTCTCTTTTCACTTATTATTTATATTCTATTTAGATTAATTTTATATTTTAAAAATGCAATAAAAAAAACAATGTTGATATTTTAATACAACATTTCTTTTTGTTGTTTTAGATAAAAATTGAAATACTACTCAAAGGGCCATTTAACATACAATCTTTTGAAATAAAGGACTGCATTCAATTTTTTTATGAGTATATTAGTGCTATGTAATTAATATTGATGTATGGTAGTTGGTACATTTTACATTTTTGCTTCAGGATAATTAAAAAATATAAAAATATTAACACTGAAATGCACAAAGTTTATAGTCTCAAATTTTTTTTTTTTTTGTGGAGGTGGGGCCAATACATTCATTTGTTCTGTTGACAAATTCTTATTTCAGGTGCTAGCTCCATTGGCAAATACTTAGCCAATATTGATTCTGTGTATTGTTCCCTGTTTATGGATAATTCCTGGAGGGAAACATTTGAAAAGTCTGAAAATCAAAAATTAGGTAAGGGGGCTCCTTTCTTTCAATCTTCTATTTTTAAACCCAAAAATGTACAGAGTGTGTAAGGTATTTGAAGCTACATTGAAGACCATAAGAAAAATAACCCCATCTTACAAACAAGTAAATTTATTGATACAAAACTTGGTACACAGATGCAGTAATGGTTGGATTATATGTTTATTTAGTGTAACCACCTGTAGCGTCAATGCAGGAATGGAATCATTGTCTTGCATACATGACATGGTCTGTATTGATATTGGACTTTACTTGGGTAATGGTGGCTTTCAGGCAATCACTCATAGTCAAGTGGTTTATATATGAGAAGTTGGGTGGGTCACATGTTTGGTGGGATGTTGTCATGCAGATGTCCACCATTCAATCTTGGATCGCCACAGTTTTGTGAGCAGGTGCAGAGTCCTGCTGAAACTCATACGGCCTCCCATCACATACAAGGTCTATCTAGGTCTTCATAACGTGTTTCCAGCACCTGACTGTAGCCAGCAGTATTCAACCAAAGACCTTGTTGAAAGAAGTGGGGTGTCATGACAGCTCTTCACTACTCAGCACCTCTAAAACCGTTACAGAACCTGGAAATTTGATGTACATAACATGTGGGACATCAGATGGATCCATACATAACCACCTGTCATTTCTCTGGTTCAATTTTTGATCCTGGCTGAAATTAAATTCATCTGAAAAGACCAGAGCATATCATGTTTCAAATTGTTCAGTAATCATTTTGCTTAGAGCAACCTTTGTTCTTGTGTCTCTGCCAACATGAAATGCTCTTTCCTCATTGTATATGACTTGCACACAAACGACCTGGCAATTTCCAAAAAACATGCAATTAACATTGCTATGTTTGCATGTATTGCAACAATTACAACATATTGTTTCATGCTGAGTGTTAGCTGATAGTTCACCATTGATGTTTTGAAAAGCACATTATTTGATTATCACATAACTGCAAGTGAGCAATCACATTTCCTCAATACCTTATGCACCCTGTGTATCAACTTTTTTTTCTCTGTACATCTTTTCAAACCAAGTTGTCTTTCTTCAGATATGGTTTTAACAAAATGTCTTGTTGAGATTCATCACACCAAATACTTACCAATGTTATTGTAAGCTGTTAAGCAAAGCTGTTTCTATACAGTGTTACTTCTGCAACTATCTTTCAATAGGCACATAGTTTTCATTGACTTTTTACCATTAATCTCCTTTGAATTTCCTCTTAAAAGTTTAATGGATTAGATAATTTGAATTTACTTTTTTTTTGTCAACATTACCTGTTAAAATGTTGGTATAAAATCAATGTCTCTTGCTGCTTTTTTTAGTAGCAGAGAAAATATTTACAGAAAAGATAATGCATTAGAATATTTGTCTTAAAGAAACACTCAACACTTACAACAACTATTGTACAAGGAAATTTATTTCTGCTCATAAAAATTCTGAACTTTATTGAAATCTTTTTATTTTTAAAATTCTTTTTAGATTCTCAAGAAATTTTCAACCGCATTTCTAAATATTTGAGTAGTGCCAACTACCTTCTCCCTATTCCGATTGGAGAAGCAATGGTCACATATAAAGGCAGGAAGTAAGTACATTTCTTACATTACTTATTTCTTCTTTATGTTAACAATTTTGCTGGGCTTAATTGCAGTATTCTGCTTTCTATTTAAGTTTTGCTTTTAAACCATTTAATTGAATTCTGTTCAATGATCAGCTTCTGTTTATTCCATGTTTGTACCACGTGTTTAATGCAGAACAAATAGTGTTTTATTATTATGTCCATTAAAATTGGTGTCCAAAGTAGAGAAATTTCATTTCAATTTTACTGATTATAGTTTTTTAATAAAATCTTAAATGTTATTGTAATCTGCAACAAACGGATGCTTATTTAGAATAAAGGACTTTTAATTATATAATGAGAATATACTAATATGTCAATGAATGCATAGCAAAGCCATTGCTATATTTCAGAAATTGGCTTGGAATATTTTTTTCCACTTTTGTTTGCAAGTTTATTTGAAGATTAAGCTTTTATATTTTTACTTTATACAGTTTTACATTCTCATTGGGAAAAGCATTTGAAGCATTTCTTAAATAAATTTTCAATGATAATTTCATTTCAGTCAGTTATGTGCCATGCATGATACACGCTTAGGCGATCATGTATCTCTTGATACATGACTGACGAAGCAGATTTTTCCCCACAGTAGATTGCCATTTCTTTCTACAGTAGATCAGTTGCCATCCGGTCTGTCCTGCTATTTATCCATAGCTGGAGGGTGGGGAGAAGAAGAGGATTCATACCTTTCCCAAGGGTGTTAGCACATAAGTGAATGTAATGGATTCGGCTGGAATGTGCATTCAGCTCTCCGATTCCTCAATCCGAGCCACTATCCATTACTCAACTGGGTGGAATAATGGATAGCAACTGAGAAGGCACAGTGGAGTAATGGATAGTGGCTCCGATTCAGGAATCAGAGACGCGAGTTCACATTACAGTCAAATCCATTACATTCACTTACGTGCTATAATACCCTTGGGAAAGGTAGGAATCCTCTTCTCTCTCTCTCCCCCCCCAGCTATGGGTAAATAGCAGGACAGACCAGGTTCTATAGCCTTGGATGGCAACTGGCCTACCGCAGAAAGAAATGACCACCTACTATGGAAAAAAAATCTGCCTCGTCAGTCATGTATCAAAAGCTACATGATCACCTAAGTGTATATCACGTATGGCACATAACTGACTGACTACTTTCATTTACTATGTCAAAAAAGAAATTAAAACATTATTTTTGTGAGAGATTTAACCTCCAAGTAATTTTTTTTTTTTTTTTTGTTCATTTTTATAAAAATCTTTATCATGTTGGGCAGTGAATAACCTTGTACAATTGAGATTTTTGCTTTTTGCTTCTAAATGTTGATAAAATTCTCCACAAGGGGAAACTGCTTTATTTTCTTTGTTTTAAATCTTTTAACTTTAAACAATTTTTGCAGATTTTTCTATATTTGATCAGCTTGGCAAGTTTTGTTTGTTTGTTTATTTGTTTTATCTTTTTTATTTTTTTCCCTCTCCACTGAAACTCTCAACAGTTTCTGCAATCTGAAGTCATAACTCATCACTGTTAGTTCCTGACTTAGGGTCGTTTTCCACCTTTGTCAATAAACAAAATGATATTGGATTTGGAATGATAGTGTTCCATAACCGCAATGCCTTTTTTTTTTTTTTTTTTTTTTTTTTTTTCTATGGCACAACTGTATGGAGGTTGAAGAAAGTTAAACAAAGAGTCTCTTTTATTTGAATGTTCAAAATATTTCTAAAAAACCCATTATCAAAAATATATAATGAAGGAGGAGCTGATTGTATGCTAAAAAGAGTTGAAGTAAATTATTTCTTGAGTATCCTTCTATAATTTCTACTGAAGAAGTTTGGGATTAGTATTAATTCCAATTCTGTTTTTGTAAGTGTTGGTTTGTTTTTGTTTTTTTTAAGGGGTGGGGAAATGTGGCAACCTTGCTTTTCATCAATTGGATTCACATTAAGTCATCAATTACCTTGTACTGATTTAAAATGATCTTTTGATTCTGAAGGCTAAAAATTTAGCAAAAGTGTTTCTTGTTTTTTATTCATACGTTAATCAAGTATTCCCATATTCAATGTTTTTTGTTCATTTATGCTGTCAGAATTGGCACAAGATATAATAGTAAAAGAAAGTACTTTCTTGACAATAGAATTTTGTTGAAATTTATATCATGTACTTTCATGGCTACCATATATATTTGGAATATGCATTACAATCTCAGGACAAGAAAAAAAAGCTTTCAAAATGGTTTTCAAATATCACCAAATGGTTTGCTGATACCTTAAAAAAAAAAAGGTGAGAAATAGCAAACTGTCAGTTTCTCTCTTTGCAAAGAAGAATATTTAGATTTAAGCAACTGCAATAGAAGAGTTGAATGAATTCAGTTACTGAAAATTGTGATGAATTTTGATTTGCTCAACTGTGTCAATGCATATTATGACAATCAAAGTGCTCAAGATTTGAGAAAAATTCCATACACCATCGAAAGTCAAAATTTATCAACATGAAACAACACTTCATTTGATAATGTGTATGGAAGTGTGTTTGTATATATTCCATATGAAATGAATATATTCAATGTGATTCAATGCCTTTATGGTAATCCCAATATTTTAGATTTAAACATAGGGGAGTATTTGAATACAGGTTACTGCCCATTGGCACATGTGTGTAATATATATATATATATATATATATATAGAAAAAATATCTATTTATATAAAGAAAAAATTAGACCTATTATATTATAAAGTATATAAAATAAGCAATAGTCCCTTTTATAATCTAAATAAACTTATTAAAGTTTAAAAGGATACAAAGAGAATTTATAAACTAAGTTAATATGATCCAAATTAACTATCTAATATATCTCTACTAAGGTTAAAATTTCACAGATTTAAATTCAATAAGTATCTGTATCTATATGAGAAACTTTTTATATAAATTAACATGTATGACCCAAATTGGTCAAACATATATTTAACTGCTCTCTATTCTTAATATATATATATATTACATTAATGACAGTCACTGTGGAAACATCAGATTTCTAAAAAGCAAACAAATAATAAATACATAATATACATGGTTAACATCAATACAGAATATGAGTAATATACATGTCTATATCTATACATACTCATATATACAATATATACAGATCCATAACCATCTACAGACTCAACCAATTGTATATGAATCAATCAAGTAACACAATAACCCGTCCCAGTATAAAAGTGGTATATCCAACATACATATAATTATATATATTCACATATATACATGGAATACCATAATACATATACATTACATATTAAAAACAATCCCATACACATTCTACACCTAAGTATATCCATATATATATACACATATATATTTTAAGACAATTTTTTGTTTATACATTCTTTTTATAGATACAATTATTTAAGTAAAAGCTCTGTTTATAATAAACAGTATTAATAACATTTACCAGCCTGAATGTTCGAGAAATTTTCATAGAAATTATTCGTCCTCCGACAGGAATCAAACCTGTATCCTATACGGAACCGTCATATAGCCTGATGAGCCTTAACCGATTGAACCACAGAGGATCATTCAGTTAGCAAGGTCGATTTTACTGCTTTTAAACTACAATCTTCCATGAATCTCTTGTGTACATTCATATCTGCTCAATGCATATCCAAATGTAAACAAATGACATACATCATATACTTACACAAGTGCACAAATTCACATATACACCATATACTCACATGTACATTTATATACACAAATATATATCCATACATGTACATATTCACCACACACACACACACAAATAAATATACATATTGAAACACATATATACCGCAACCATAAGCTTCAGAGTACAATAAACATAATTATTTAAACATGTGCAACAGCATCAATTGAATGAAGATATAGATTTGAATACAATATGTGTTATGTTATATCTGATGTTATATAATCCAGAAGTGGTTCTTCTATATTTTTGTGTCTGCATTTGGATATTAGTTCACTCTAAAGATTGAATAACTCCTCCTGGTTTTTATATTTAATTGTAAAGATTTTCTCCTGGAGACATAGGTCACAACAGTCTCAGAAGTTTTTAGGAGTCCGAGCCCTTAGTATGAATTTCCACTCCAAATGTGGAGTGAAACCTTTGTCAATTAGATCCCACTGCTTGGATAAAGTAGTTTGGTTTTTCAGCAGTCTATTACTGAAAAAGTTCCTGTGATTATATAGGTGTTGTTTCCAACTTCCTGCAGATATTCCAATGTAGATCTTCTTTAAGCTAACATTTTCTTTGGGGAAGAAAGTTGCCTCATACACCACATTTTTAGACATTCATTTTCCCTTGACAGGACACTCAGTTTTTCTTCTAGAATTGCATGCAGGTTTAATATCTTGTACTTCACTGTGTCAAAACTTATTAAGGAGTTTACTATTGTGGGCTGAGATGATTTTCTCTACATTATTAACACAAGAGTAACTGATTTTAAGAGTTTTTCTATTAAAAATTTTTGTTAATGGATTCTTAGCGTTAAAATGCTTATTTATCAATTTTAGGAAGAAACACCCTATATTAATACTGGAAAGCTTGCAGAAGGGTGGGTTGAACCATATGAGTTTCTTTTTTCTGTTTTTGGAATTATTAAAATTTTATATACACATGCCAGAGTAAACAAACAGTAAAATATTTGTTAAGATTATATGCATTAAAAGTACTCAATATCAAGTTGGAAGACCAGACTTGCATAGCAGTTTCATATTTTAAAAAAGTTATGAATGCTGACCAGAACACTACTGTGGTTTTGACCACTAAGGTCTCTTCAGGTGGTTTGTTCAGCAAATCAGTTAAGTGGAGCTCAGCAAATTAAGTACTTTCGTTTGAAACTGGAAATAGTGGGTGGGGATGTAGTGAAAAAAATTTCCAACTTTATCCGAGTTCCAATAACCTCAAACTGAACTTCTTAACGTGTCTACACTTGGTCATGATCTCTGA